TAAAACAATTAATTGTAATGGTACATGTACAAATATTTATATAAATTATAATTGCTATTTATACAAACCTATTTTTTATCATTTCTATTAATATACATAAAATGATCTGTAATATGTAACTGCAAAATGATAATAACTGAAAAACAATGTTGATAATAATATAAAAAGGAACATAAGACGATATAATTTAAGTTTAAAAGTACAACATATATGTATGTGTTATTAACTGGGAAAAGTTCCATTTAAGCATTTGACATTATTTCACACATAATGTATGATATAGTCATATGACAAGTTACTTGTAAGAAAAGCATAGTTCATAAGTAAAATTTGAATCTCACTGCCAATGTTATTGGAAATACTTAAAAAAATATAGCTATTGCAGTTGTGGAACATGATATAAATTATAAAATCTAGTCTTAATATGTATATTTGATATGATATTAATAATGTTGTATTGCTACATATACATGAACGTACAAATGTAACACATTTACATACTGTTGCTTTTAGTTGTTTTTTCTTTCCCTTAAAAAACAATGTTAGCTTCCTGAATATATTTCTATGTAAAATCTAAATCATAAAAGCTTCCACTGTTTTTATTGATTAACTTGAGTGGTTTATAAATATTTTGCAATAAAAATAATTCTTAAATATCGAAATAGTACAATAATGACTGTTTTGTATATATGAAATAACATTACATAATATTCATAAAAATGAATTTTTTTTGTCCCCTTAAGGAATGCAAAATTATATAATGCATTTACGTATATATGTATTTTATTTTTGCACAAAAATATACTTCCACTACAATATTTTAATACTTTAATCTTATTATGTTTAACTTATTTTGATTTTGTATTTACCATTTTGCATATGTTAAACTATTATATTTGTTCAGTTTCTCCATTTTGTCCATCTATAAATAAATGCAATTAATTAAACAGTATCACGCAAAATTAATTTCTCTAAAGAGATGCATTTAAAATTGTAAATATTTACAATTTCTTACATTAACCCTTAAATACAAACCACTCATCTCGATCTAGTGGAGAATTTTAGAAGCTCCAGTGTTTGAATACCTGCAGTTAAGGGTAGATAGCACATTATTTTTATAATGACAACAGAATATGACGTTCAGTTGTTTAACAAAAGTGTTGCTAAGTAGTCAATTATCTTTGAGACGATTCGTCTGTGTTTATGTAAGCCTTAAGCAAAAATAAAGACGTCTGTAGTTAAGGGTTAATGATCTTACATAGTTATGTATAAGTCTATTTCAATTTAATGCATTTCAATTTTGATCAACTTTATTTCTAAAAACATTTAAATTTTAAAATAGATTACTTACTTTAATAATAATTTTTTAATACTATAAATCGTATAACTCACTTGTATTACCGCCGTTTGTATCACCGTTAGTGGCATTGTTCCCACCATTTTCACCATATGGTGGCCCCGGTCTACGGCCATGACAACCAACTCCTTTACCATGATGAGGTGCAGCCATGGAAGGTTGAAAATTTATGGACATTACAGATGCCTGTAAATAAAAAGAGTTCTCCATGTATATAAAAAACGATAGACAGATACTAAATATTTACAAGTATGTATAGAACATTTCTATTAAACTAGAAAATATTTGTAATAAAAAAATATTTTGATAATTATATGAATAAGCA